CAAGCGTTTTTTTGTTACAAGATAAGATAAGTTTCAAGCGTCTGCAGATTAAGTTTCTGAGTAAAATGAAACTATTTAGCTCTATTTAATAGAGAGGACTGATAAATTAAACTTTAAAAAACGTCTTTTGTGATTTTTCTTTAATTTGTGTTATTAGTAACACCACCCAAAAGAAAAGGGTTGTAGAGTTTTTGTTTCCGTGCCTGAATTTTACGGGAAAAGATGGACAAAAGTATTTAGCAGGCGTTTAAGAACTTTGATAGAAGAAAGCCTTCCTTGAGTCCTTCGTTATTTAATTTCCTTATTATACAATATTGAAGAGCAAGCAAGGCCCTCTTGAATCTGTTTATTCTCTGTGCCTACTTGTGCCTGTTTTCTATCAAGCTTCTAACTTCTATGAGACCGACCAGTATTTATCGCCTGGGGGAATGGGGGGACAGGAGGATTTTGTTTGTGTCATAATAAAGTTTACCTGATTTCTCCCCCGAAAGGCTCTGTAGAGTTCTAATGAACCCCCTGCGTTGACAGACAATTGTCTATAGTCCCCCCCTTCATAGTTTTCGAGGAAAGAATGATACCCGCTCCGTTCCCGCTGAAAAGGTTGTGTTCCCCTAAAATCCTTCCACTCTCCCCCCTCCTCTTATTCTAACTAGAGTTAAACTGCTTCGTTCATGGTCTTTAGATATACTAAAAACAAGCAAGTCAGCTAAAGAACAAACAAACAACAAATAGAGCATTAGATAACAGAGAAATGTATTTAAGTTCGTTGTACTCTGGCTGCCCTAACAGTTCTTAGCATGATCTTTGACCAGACGAATTTCATACCTTTGGTTTTGGATAACCTAAAACTTGAATTCGGCGTATGAATTTGTCAGGTCCCTCGGCTGATTTTTTGTTATCATCGATTTACACTCGTGACACACGTGAGTGATTGAATGCGTACAACGCGATATGATCAAGACATAAGTATAATATATACGTATAATAGATATTTTCAGTGTTCATTTTTTCTCAGCCTTTTTCCGGAATGTTTGCTGTTATTCTTTGCCCCGCAACAACTCATTTGAAAACTGTGGCCGATACGAAAAACCAAAAAGCACTAACTGTTCCAATGTATTAAAATTGTTTAGGCAAGATGGAATGGAAAATCACTTTTCCTTACAGACCATGATGATAGAATCGTCGATTTTGTACCCATCCCTAAAATGACCATAGTACTATTAATTGTCTCCAAAACTTGCTAGGAAACTGAGTCACAAAATACCAAAGAATAAAAGGAAACAAAATAGAAGATGCAGTGCGGAGCCTGAGCACTAGTTTCTCGTGTTACGCACTATAATGCACTGCATCGCTGAGGTAACTCATACTGCCTTCTTCAAGACCGTCTGAGATACCAGAGTGGTTGTCAGACAGTAAACTAAGTGGAAGTAAACTAAGTGGAGAACAAAACACAGAGCACTCTGAGTTTTGACGATCAAATTGGATCAAAATCAAATACGTTTTTAGATCGAGGAGGAGAGAATGAAATACAGGTTTAAGGATTGAATGCCTGAACTGATCAATAAGTTTAAGTGTCAATATCACAGCAAATCGTCCTATGATGAAGCTTATGATGAAGTTGTACGCATGCGTAATCCATTACCCCTTCCAATGGATGAGTGCTCTTCACAAGAACTGTTTGAAGAACTGATACAACTCCCATGAGTGACCAAGACAGAATTTGTCCTTACAATGTTAATATCAACCAGATAAATTGATGTTTTTCTTTATTCTCATCACTTGAGGATAGTAAGTTGATCCAATACTAAATTCTCTGAAGTAACATTATAAGAATTGTATGGTTGACAGTAAGGAGAATTACAAATTTGATCTGGGAGTTGGAGGGTTAATGACTCATCGTCCCATCTTAGTCTTGCAGAGTTCCAAGAAAGGTAAAGCCTCCCTTGGACCCTACTAGAGCCACTTTTGAGAGGTTAAAGAGACAGGAGTGGGCACACAAAAAGCCTGGGCCGTGTCCTCTCCCTCTAAGAGAAACAGGGAGACCCCGGGCACGACTTATGAGTCGCTTTCTTATTTATTGCCTCAGACCATTTACGAAAGAGAACCAGAAGTCGATACGTTTGTGATCGTCGCCGACTATGCTTACTTTGCAGAAGTGTCCAAAGTTATTTAAACTACTTTCAGCGTTCAAACAATGACGTAAAGAAAAATGTAGATAAATTCCGAAAACCATGGCAGAAATACAAGTATGGCCTTAGTCACGAAAATTTTCAATATCCTTTGTCCAAAATGCGCCAAGTCGAAGCGTCAATCACGGGAGGAAAAAACAATAGGAGCACTAGAAAGGCAAAGGAAAGTCTTAAGAGAGGGAGTCAGGTCGTTTATCGTTGAAAACGATTATGCTTACGTTGCGGAAGTACGTCTAGAAGTGTTTTTACTTACATAAGTTCAAACAATGACGCACAAAAAATCACCAACGACAATTTTTTTGATTTCCATGACTGGAGTAATGCAAACATTAATCGCAAGCAAGGTAAGTTGCCAAGGGGACTTTCCCAATCTGAAGGCCCTTTACAGTAGCCTTTTTTGGAAGAGACAGGAGCAGGCACGTAGAGACCAGGCTGTTGTCTTTTCCTTCTGAGGCAAGGGAAGTGAAGAGAATTTTGGATGCGGCTAACGAGCCTTCTACTCTTTTGTCGCCTAAGAAACTTTTTGAACGAGACCAAGAGGTAGAGCTGTTTATCAAGTGAACGTGGATTATGTTAACGGTGCAGAAATATGTCCAAAGCGTTTTAAACTACATTATGTCAAAATAATGACGTAAAAAATTTAGATAGCTTCAAAGACCACACGAAAGTAGCCTTAGAGGAGAAAATAATTAAATTTTTTTATTAAATGAATAGAGGCATCATTCGAAGTGTAAACTCAAAGAGGCAAAAATAATAGGTTGCTGAAAAGGTAAAGAAACGTCTTAAGAAAGGGAATTTCACAACCTAAATATTAATAGTAAGTGCCGTTTACTAATGTTGCTGGAAACAGATTACTTGTTATACTCCAAGAGGAGGAGAGCACCTCGAAAAAACGGTACTAGGTCAGCTGTTGCGATTTTCCATAATTTTTAAAAAATGGTTTAGTGCTTTCATTCTATTGGTAAGTAACGTTGATCTAAGAGAGGGCTAGAAACCTTTGGTTGTCATGCAACATCCAAATTCGCTTCGAAAGGGCAAGTTCCATTTTATAAATTACATACTATAACCTTCCCTGGTCATCGGCAAAGTAGATGCGAGTTGAAAGTGTGTTTTGCGAATATTCTAATTGATAGATTGAACGAAGTAGTGTGATTTGAATCTGAGCGACGTCAACAAAAGAAAGTACAAAACGCCTGCGTTATGTCCTTTTGACTAAACTTGGCTCCAAGACTGTACAGCGAGTCTTTGAAGCAAGTCTGGTATCTCCCTCCTTCCATAAAGTTTTGAAAGACAAGCGAGTTTAGGCTTGAAACAAGAGGCTACAGTGGCGTTCACTCGGCTTGGCTTTATTTTAGGGGTGTTACTAAATAGAGTAACGCAAGAACAAGCATGCTTTTGTAAGTGATTCCGTGACTATTTTGGAAATTAGTTCGTGAGAAATCTCACGAAGTGAGACCCAAAACACCTCGGGATTTACAATCGCTCCTCGCCTTTAACTCGGTATTTACAATCGCTCCTCTCCTTTAACTTGCCAGTTCTCGTCATGAAATTATTTCTAGTATCGTTGAGCAAAAACAAACTCAA